TGTTTCAGGTGGAAACAAGGTGCTTTGATTAGGCTGGTGATAATGAAAACATCCAGAAAACCGATCAATTAAGAAAGTGAACTTCGCTATTTTAAAATATTTGCAAGCTCGCGTCATCATCTTCCTTACATATCTTAGCTAATAGCACATAAATCTCGTTTAGCAAAGGAGACACCATCGCACACTCCCTTTGACTTCATAAATTTTGGTGTAGGATTTCTTGCACTCTCAAATAAACAGAACAGATTTGCGAAACCGAGTGCCGTTTCAATACAAACAGAAAAAAAGACCATTCATAACCAAATTTTGCTTTGAATCGAACACATCCTAGGATTTTGTCATGGAGATATTCAGATTTTGAATCCTCATCTCCTCAAAACGCACCTAGTGATATGAATTATATCATTGTTTTTTTAGCTTTCTGTCTCAGTTTACTTAGATTTACATTTTTCATCGGGGCTCAGTGGTCTAGGGGTATGATTCGCGCTTCGGGTGCGCGAGGTCCCGGGTTCAAATCCCGGCTGAGCCCCTTTGCCGGCTGTGAGTGCAAAATATACTTACCTCCACGTGGTGCACCCTGGGCAACGTATACTTATACGGCAAAAAAGTCTATCAATCGGCAGTTGACTTCTTACTTCAAACTTCTATGGCCCGACTATTTGTCATATTCGACCCCTTCTACGGTACTCATCTTACCTTTTTAAGCCTTTGTATCTGTCTGTCTGTCTCTATAACCTCTGTGAATCATTATTCTGTCTCCCATCTCAACTTTTATGTCACTTTGATGTTCCTTCTCTCTGTGAAACCCCGAAGTCAGCTCCAGGGCTAATGATAACTTTCAAAATGCCTGCCATTTGATATAAATAAATACATTTTTCATCCTACTGATGATGACGATTCGTGGCATTTAAACATACCAATTGGTTTAGGAGGAAAGCTGAAATATCTCAATATCAAATTCGAAACAAACATGGAAACTCGTTGAATCGACACCGGTTATAGGTGCATAATCTACCCATTGTACTCTGGAGAGTTCAATTAGTTAACTTGAATAGAAGCAGCATATGGAGTTCCGTCAATATAAAATTTCAACTTACCACATCTTCGGCATGTAGAATATCATAGATCTGGAAGAAAAATGAATAGGAATGACAAGACTGGACTTCAAAATAAGTATTATTATTTCAAATGGCAGGCTTAATGATGGTTATCATTAGCCCTTAAACTTTGACTTCAGCTTCCCCATGGGTGGGAGGTACATAAATAACAGTTAATTAATAGCAATTCATTAGCTGTCTTCTGCTTCCCAGTATCTCTGAGTTTCCGTCGTTGTCTTTAGGGCTGGACACCGAATCAGGTGGGTCTTGTCCGTTTCCTCCTGCAGGTTACATAGAGGGCATGTGGGTTGAGTGTATACTCCCAATCTGTGAAGATGTTTTGCCTAGCAATCGTGTCCGGTACGTAGTCTAAACTCAGCAACGGCCTCGATTCTTTGCCAGTCGGCTATGTCGGAGAGTGTCGCTGTCCTCTTTTTCTCCTTTGTTCGAGCTTTAAGTTCGTTTCACCTTGAGGTCTTGAATTCTCTCCTGATTAAGGCCTTCATTGTGTGGAAAGACATCGACCGGTTTATGCCCCTTCTTAGCAAGTGCGTCAGCAAGCTCATTGTCTTTAATGCCACAGTGACTTCAGAATTATAAAGGCGGTCAGTAAATACTGGACATCGTGGACATGCATTTGATACAAATCATGAAGACGAATTGTGAAAGATGAATTCTTAAATAAGAAACCCTCATTTAGTCAACGCCATAAAATCTAGATCCAAAGCATTAAATGAATTTCAGACACTGTTCACCGCATATTTTTACATTTTAAAGGGGGTGTTTGAAGCCGACACAACAAAGCCCGAAAATTTTATTTATATCAAATGGCTGGCGTTTTGATAGCTGTCATTAGCTCTTTAGTTGACTTCAGGTTTCAAAGAGGGGAAGGAACATCAAAGTGACAAAAAAGCCGATAGTTGGGACAAAATAATGATTAGCAGATTTAAAAGAGACAGAGAGACACAAAGGCAGAGAAAAGGTGAGATGAGTACTGTGAAAGTGGTTGAATACGATATACAGTGGGGTGATGGTAGTCTGAAGTCAGAAGTCAACTGTTGGTTAATAGACTCTTTTGCCGTATGAGAATACGTTTCCCAGGGTGCATCACATGGAGGTAAGTCTATCACACACCCCAAGCTCGAAAAAGTAGAGTTATAAAATTTTTGCATGGAGTAATTGGTCTCATGCTGGTAGGGAAAGCCTGATAAACTAAAAAATATAAAGTCACTAGATATTCAGACTGTTATCCATATCGGCAAGGGTAAATCATGTTCTCATTGTTTTGGCAAAACGATATAGTAGTTGAATTGGATTGCTACGCTCAGCAAACCCGCTAGTTTGTAGTGGTTCCCATGGTTAGCTAAGCTACGGGCTTAGTCGTTATAATACAATGAAGGCTTCGTTAAACCAAGAAAGGACTACTGATTGATGGTTGACTGAGCGGCCTTTGTGCTCACGATAACACTTGCTCTCTATGCCACAAGTATCATGGTAGCACCGTCGAAACTGCCTGATTTTACATGAGAGTTCTTTGTTCAGCCATGACCAAGTTGTACGTTCCACACAGTTCAATCCGGAAAATATTAAGTATAAAATACTTCATTACAGTTCATGTCAACAAACTGGATGGATGAGCGTTATTTTCGAACAGTCGTTAGTTAAAATATAAATCTCGTCATGGTGAAATATTAATAGTATAACACCGAAATTTTTAAGCCCCACATTACTTGTTGAACACTCTATTTGAGTTCACTTGAAATCTTTCCGTTTATTACCTATTTCTCACCTGCGATTTTTTCTTCTCCAAGGGCGATTAATGCAATGGATGCAGATTTGATCGGTTTCTTCGCATTAGAATGTAGAAGTTCTCGGGTGCAGATTTCTTAGCATGGCCTCCTGTCCTCTTAATTTCTCTTTCCAAGAATAGAACACTGCATTCTTCTTCAATCTTTGAGTAAGCTCACCATTCTCTGCCTCCTGGTCAGACTTCACTTTGAAGCGGATTTCGAGTCATCAACTATTGTCAGGATGTTGCTTTCTTTCCATTCTCTTCTTAATGCTAAATTTTGCAACACTTTGTGATAGTTCTTCTGCCCATATCCATTCCTTTTCATGTTCTTCTTCGGTCTGACTAGTGCTGATCTCACTTGACTAACTTGTGATTTAAGGTTCTGAATGGAGGTTTACTTTCCTAAATTTGAGTTCATTGTGTCCTCGTTTGTTACACAAGTGAAGTGCAAATCATTGCAAAGCCAACAAACTTTCTGGGACACAGTTTCAGTAATAACTGTATTTGCTGACTCGTGCCACCGCCAAACCTAATGTCCACTTTTCACTATTGATTGGCAAGATCCTCTAATGTGATGTTATCACTTCCTCCCAATCATTCTGAAAGTACGACAACTGACCTTAGAATGACGAAGTTCTTGAAGACAGCTTATAATAGTAGACATTTGAAATGGTCCTTCGAAATCTCACAAAGTTGCATATCGCCCAAATATATTATTAATAGGGCGAGTACATATCAACCAATCGTCATCGTATCTTGGTCAGAGGAAGACGTGCAAAAATGGATAGATGAATTTTGTAGTTACAATACGTCTTTGCGAAGTTATCACACCAATAGCAGACCGAAATACCAACCTCTGCTCCACGAAACCTCGAATTACTTCAATTCTGAGCTAAAAACGAGCTTAGCTGAAAGAACTAGTAAGATTAAATACCCCAAAATGAGGTTACTTTTTCACTGCAGTTGATATGTGACAGCCTGATAAGTTACTCCAGTTATAAATATGTAAAAGTGTAATAGGAAGCTTTGCTATGTTCAATTATTTATATTCTTTGTCTTGTTAGTGCAGCCAATGTATTTTTAACTGCATTTCTGTTTCAAGAAATTTGAAACGGATTATCAGATTGGATGACTGGTATTGGAAAAAGCCAATGAGTTTTGCCCAGGGATAGGGGTCTTAATACAACATGAAATGAATAAAAAGCGTTGGGAACAGGCAACCACATGGAAACCACTGGTAATTCAAATCATGCTTACTACGAGTCAAGTTAGATTTCCAAAGTAACCTGGTTTAAGTGGAGGAATCATTCAGAAGTTGTTCTCTCGATGGTGTTGTAATCGTTAATATGATCATCGAGGGGGTGTTTCTAGAATGGTCTGAGATGCAAGGAACTTGAGAGTCTTCTCTTAGATATAACCTCACACTTCAATCCCAGTGTTCATTAGCATCTTAAGAATTATTTCACCCTTTCACAACCCCAATCACATCTCGAACACTCTGGTTTCACAATAAGCCTTGGACAATCGAACTCTCGTCGTTATATTTGGTCGTGCTTTGAAGATCGAACTAAATTAATTGATGGAGTAGAGACAGCATCCTATTTCTGCACACTCACAATTAATAGTATGTCAGGGGTGTGCGGAAGCTGAGTCGGATTATTCTCAACCCCAGTATCCTGAAACAATTGTCCAGTCATACAGCAAATCCCAGACCCGATAAGAAAGAAGAAGAAGAAGAAAAGAAAAGTAAAATTAATTGAAAATATGTTGGTATTTGAACTGGTTTAAAAATAGTTCACTCCAACAGTAAATTCAGGGTTTGAAATTATAAATTAAAATTGCAAATCAATGAAATTAATCTAAGTAAAGAGACTTCAGAAAGAACATCAAGTCTTTTTGTCCTTCGACAATTGCAAACTTGCTATTTTTCAGAAAAGCCGAAGGATTCAGGGCATCTTTGAGCCAACTTCTACCTCGGAAAGCCGCCAAATGTGCATAGTAGGTCGGCGTAGGGTAGGAAATGGTTCGATTGGAACGCATAGAAGCACGGCACAAGAAGTAAGTGAACAATTGGAGATCGTCTGAATCCCAGTCGTTATCATCATAAAGTACAGTGTAATGAGCCGGCTTTGAAGTGCCTTGAATAGCTTTATGCGAGCAAAGGTAGAAGTCAAATTCTCTGTTGTGAGTGATCTCTGAGTCCACTACTGTTCCTGGAGAGATATTTTGTGATCTAAAAATAAAAAAACGAGTTAAATATTTCAGTTAATCAAATGCATTATTGCTTAAGCACAAATGATATGTCTTCAAATCTTGGAAATACTAATTTATTGTTCTAAAATTGGAGGGCTGTGAAAGGCTGTGACACTCAAGTAACTGAATACGACCTTTTCTATGAAGCATGTGTTCACAAGAATTAAAATAAAGCTAAGCTCTGTGAAATAGATATGCTTAACCAATAATTTTACAATAAGCATTCGAAATCGGAAGATACATTAACCTTTAGATCCAATATATTCTTTTCTAACTTAACCACTTATAAGATTCACTGTTATGCAATTGCGGCCATTTTTACCAAAATTCTTTGATATTAATAAACTTTTGATTGGAGAAGATTTATATTCCACCTTTCAGTCTATTGGCAGGTGCTTATATTCAAACATCCAAATGGGTTAAAATGTTTAGCTTTAAACATTTCTTAATAGTCAGAAATCTGTTAGACGAAAAGTCGTTAACTGCACAAATTTACAAGCCGAACGCCTTTCAAAATGATCGAGTTGCTTGTAGCTAAGATAGAGATCGCACTTTCTCAATTACTGGCTTTCGGTTGATAGATGTTACAAATAAATTGAAGTGACATAGGTATGAGTGTGGGTTATTGAAATTCGATTATTGGGAGATTAAAAAGAAAACTATATACTTCACGAAAATGTGCAAAACCTAATAATTCCGAAGCTTAAACTTTAGTAAAACTTTTGCAGTTCAGGTTTCATCACCCCCTCTTCTAAACTCTTTTGCTCATCCAATAAGTGGTTGAATTCGTTGAATATGCAACAATAAATCGAACTTGCACCGATCAAACTAGTTCAATTAGGCACCTCTTTTAAAAATTCCCTTAATAAAACAGTTGGAACCTCTTCAATAAGCTCTGAAAAGTCATTCATCAGTGTTTGAATTAAACTTAGCACGATTTCAACACAAACACACTCAGGTATCAAGCTATTTTATTCAGAATTAAGAAATAAATCACTTACTTCTCAGAAATAGGAGTGGAACGAATGTGATGATGCTTTTGCACAACAATAAAGGTGATTCCAGGTTCATATCCAGGTCGAATATCAGTACAAGCTTCTTGAATATCTCCAAGCTCTGACTCCAGCACTTGATAGAACTGTCCCTATGGAACACCATCTCGATAGACTATTATTTTCGTAGGAAGTCTGCCATTATTATGCTTTCCAAAAGTCTACACAGTATATGCAATTCAAAATTGCTCTTTTTACATCCAAAAGGTCAGTAAATATGTCCTTCATTCCATTTATGCACTCACTGGCCAATTTGTGTTCCTGTTGTCTCACCACTGCAGCATACTTCACCAGGTCTGGAGAAATCGAGGCCACAACTGCTGCAACAGATTTTCGAAGGCCTCCGTTTTTAGAAGTTGGATGTGTTACGTCAGCACCGGCAACCATGATGATCTCCTTTCCCCACCAATCTGATAATTGACTGACTTGCCAATTCGAGCCTCCCAACTTTCCATTAATTTTCAGCAACAAGTTATCCGAAATGTGAAAACACATTGTTGCAAAAATTATCCCAATACGCTTTTCTTATCGAGATATGACTACCTAACCCATAAAGCCTCGTTTTTTTAATATTCACATCCTTGACACACTGGGTCACCATAAATTTATTCAGCTCACTTGCACGGTTGATTTCTGAATAGCTTTTCGTGTCTGATAAAATACAAAGGCTAAATGTACACCCTAAATTAATGCAATGAATTGAAAGCGCTTCAATAAAGATGCGAAAAAAACCTTTCGACTAAGCATTTCTAACAAAGAGGGTAATTCCGCTACAAATAACCTAACTACTTCTGAATTCCTATCCATTTCAAGTCCAGACTTTTGGGCAGCCATTGGAAGCTCTTTTCGAAGCCAATCAACATTCCTAATCTAAAATTTGACAGAATGTAGTTCAACATGCGATTCAAGATGCGAGAATCAGTACATGATAAGAGAATATCTTACCTTGAACGGATGCAAAACAACAATGACCCATTTAAGGAAAGTAGAGGCAGATTCAAGGAAGGGTTCATGACTCCACGAGCCTCGTTTCATCTCTTGTGTGCCATTAAAAAATCGAGAATTTGGTTGGGGCAATTCTCGAGCCACAACTCGAACTGGCTTCGGGTCTGTGAACTTTAAATTCAATTTTGATATCAACGAACTGCGCCTAGAGTAGAGCGAAATCTCATACACAGTCCCCATAAGGAACAGTCCAAGTAAACGAAGTAAAGGTGGTTACTTACAATGACATAACTTGCTTTACCATCCTCTCCAAATCCCTAAATCGTTCTGAGGGTTTAACTGCAGCTATGCGAGTAACCTCAGAGGCAATACGTCTTTTATCTTCTCGTGCTTTTTGAAATGGCAAGACTGTTAGCAATTCCATTGGCATAAACTCATCTCTGTTTTTCTCGATCTAGAGACAGGTTGATTGATTGGACTAACATTTATTTAGCTTACCCGAACACAAGGGAGATTAGGATACTTCAAAACTATGCCATACTTCCTTGTAAAATATTCTGTTACAGACATATCAAATGCTTTGATAATGATCTCATCCGCTGTTTTATCCGATAAGCTAAACATTGTTAATACCTTTGAGAAGGATTTGCCCGTATCTACAGGAAGAAGACTTTTAGTCACGCGAATGATGTAGATTCATGCGTTAATTCGTTCAAAAATGCCACCGGAATTTCTGTAGTGGCTAGCTTCAGCCTTAAGAGAAGCAATTTCAGTACTGATTTTTTCCCATTTTGACCTATCATACATGCTCTGGCTGTACTTTTCATACAGCACATCAATCAGATTTCCAGTAATTCTAATCGATTTAATCACATTTTGGGTGGTAGTGTTTCTCTTTCTCACCAAATCGATATTAATTCATAACTTCCACTGTGGTCGAACACTGAACAAGTGACCCCTATAAATGCTGTAAAGGCCATTTGAACATATCTTTTCAGGATCTCTTAAATACACCCCATTCAGGAAAATTTCAAAGATTTTTCTATTAACCCAACGGAAAAGATTGTCTAGCATATTGATTGCTTTCTGAGGAGTTTCCTCTCTCATTGAATTAGGATTCTCCATGTACTGTTTAATAGATTGGGCTGATATTGTTCTCAATTTCTTAATAACATATTTTAATCTCAATTTTCTTTCACCTTCATACACATCTAAATATTGTGGTTCTGAGAGAGTGAATTTTCTTTCAAGGGGTTCCAGTGAAAAGCAGAATCGATTTGCATCTGAAAACACGTCATCATCCATCCTGAAAAGTGGAAAGATTCGAGCTGTGATTAATAAGCATGAGCACCAAGGCGTTAAATAAAGATAGTTTTGGGAACATACAAATTGTAAACAAATTTCATGTACTTGAGCAAGAATTTTTCATGCAATTTCAACTGGTTAATCCCATTTTCCGTCACCTCTTGCGGTTGCATTGGTTGAATGTCATATCGGTGGATTTGAACGTCAGCTACTTCGAAGTCCCAACAATTGACTTCAACCATGACCGCTTCGCCGACTGTGCCGATTCTAGGCCTCGGTGTTAACATTTTTCCCCCATCATATTTGAATTTACATCTACTGTAATTAACAAAGTACTTGGGAGAAAGGTGGTTTGCATTAGTAGAGAGAAATTTTAAGATATCTACTTACATCAGGGGGTGTGCGATAGACTTACCTCCACGTGGTGCACCCTGGGCAACGTATACTCATACGGCAAAAAAGTCTATTAACCGGCAATTGACTTCTGGCTTCTAACTACCACGACTCCCCTGGTTGTCATATTCGACACCTTCCACAGTATTCCCCTTACCTTTTTCTCTACCTTTGTGTCCGTCTATCTCTTTTACAACTGTGAATCGCTCTTCTGTTCTCCCCCCTGTGAAGCCCGAAGCCAGCTAAATGGCTAATGATATCTTTCAAAACGCCTGCCATTTGAAATAAATAAACTTACATCAGCTGGTTAGTTGTCTTGCGGTTGCTAAACAAGTTGTATGTTAATGTCTCAGGAAAAATAGAAATTCTTAACAATTTACTATGTGAATTTACCTGTCATTCGTTGGGGGGACTATTAAAGTTTCTTTTTTCACAGATATTTTCTGGGGAACTATAACACGGCCAATACACAATTTGAGAACCATTAATTCATACCTGCGATTGGATACTCTTTCCTCATTGTGTCTACAATTTGAGATATTCACAGTTTATAGCGTTGAAAAGGACTCGTTCTGTGTTCAAAATACTAATTTACCTAATAAACTTAGGAAAGAAATCGCTACTCATCTCAGGCACGATTAAAGAAGCAAAGCTAAAGTGACTTTTATATGTAAGTGTGCATTTGAATACTAATCGTTATCGAAAATTAAATATGATCTGGTTTGGGCTAACTGCTAATACGCTAATAACTACACTATATTCCAATCTGAGTTGATATAGACTCGCCTTGTTAAGTAGGTTAGGCAGACTTAGGAAAAATCAAATTGATACCAATCTGTGGTTTCAAATCCAAATTCGTTACCAGTAAACCCAAAAATTAGTCTCCATTTAAGTTAAGTCTATAAACTCATTTAAAGTTCTTACGAACAAGGAAGTAACTGATGCCCATGAAAATGGTAAACTTACATGATATTATCTTGAGATTTAAATTTCTCTATCCTCAATAAACAAAGTAGCGGGGTGTGCGATAGACTTACCTCCACGTGGTGCACCCTGGGCAACGTATACTCATACGGCAAAAAAGTCTATTAACTGGCAGTTGATTTCTTACTTCAAACTGCCATGATCCCAATGTATGTCATATTCGACCCCTTCCACAGTACTCATCTAGCCTTTTCTCTGCCTTTGTGTCTGTTTGTCTGTCTGGTACATCTGTGAATCGCTTTTATTTCTCCCTGTCGAATTTTTCTCACTTTAATGTTCCTCCCTTCTGTGAAGCTCGATGTCAACTAAAGGGCTAATAATAACTATCAAAATGCCTGCCATTTGAAATAAATAAATATTCGAGTGTGATAAGTCTGATTAAGCCTTAATTTCATCCCAAGTAAGTTAGAATGGCATTAGTAATATTTGTTTACATTAAGTCACTATTCATTTTCTAAATCACTTTGACGTGTTTTTGGCCAATTTTTTCCACAATATGCAAAGTTTATTCGATTTTAGGATAATACAGATTAAATCTTAAAAGTTTCAAGCCAGGAAGCAAGTTAAATTATGATTTATCGTCAATATGTACTATACTGTACATAGACTGCTAAATTTCAAAAGTAAATGATGCGGTTCTTAAGAGACTACTTTCACAAGAGAGTAACCATTCTTAGCACAATTAAAGTTGCAAATAAATGAATCTCTTTCAGATATTTGGGGAATGGCTACTCTTCGTTAATTTGAGCTTACCTTAGGTCTAAATTCCCCTTTATACTTCAGTATATAAGCAGTTATCAAGTAAAATTTACCTTGATCAGTTCTGCTGTGCTTACAATGCCCCTTTCTATTATCTGATGTCTACTTTTGCCTATTGTAATGTATAACTATATCAGTAGCGTATGTCAGTCTGTCAATAGATTTCAAGCATCCTATTTACAATTTCACTCACAAACCTGACAATTAAATGACTTTATAAATTGAACTTATTTTCAGTTTGTCCGCCTAGACATCGTTTAAATAACTTCAATTAGGAAATGTTAATTACACGAATGCTTTTCAGAAGAGGGTTAACAAGGCAGAAGTTTGAATCCATTGAGATTACTTCGCACTTAGGTAATTATTTTATTTCAAATGATAGGCATTTTGATAGTTATCATTAGCAATTTAGCTGACTTCGAGCTTCACAGAGAGAAGGTTCATCAAAGTAACAGAAAGTCGAGAGATGGGGAACAGAAGGACGATTTAGTGATGTAAAAGACACGGACAGAGAAAAGGTAAGATGAGTACTGTGGAGGTGGGCGAATATGACAAGCAGTTGGGTCATGGTAGTTTGAAGTGAGAAGTCAACTGCCGGTTAATAGACTTTTTGCCATATGAGTATACGTTGTCCAGGGTGCACCACGTGGAGGTAAGTCAATCGCACACCCCACTTAGGTAAATATACAGTATGGGTAATTGGGTTGATTAAGGACTTCACATTACATGGACAGGGAAAAAGTTGGGAAACTGATAAGGTAAAATTGTCCCAAAAGGATAATTCTGATCAGACCAGGTTGACCGAAGGCTGTCTCATCATGAGCATATGATAGAATAATGCCCTAGAATTCAAGTAGGTTAACTCTCCTTATGCCGAACTTAATTGCCTTCGTTTTGATTCTCATATTTTTATATTCGTTTACAAGGGGTGTGTGATAGACTTACCTCCACGTGGTGCACCCTGGGCAACGTATACTCATACGGCAAAAAGTCTATTACCTGGCAGTTGACTTCAAACTGCCATGACTCCACTGTATGTCATATTCGACAACTTCACAGTACTCATCCCACCTTTTTCCCACCTTATCTACTTTTGTCTTTGATACACTCTTCTGTTCCCCCCCCCCCTCTTGAATTTTTTACACTTTGATGTTCCTTCCCCTCTGTAAAGACTGAAGTCAACTAAAGGGCTAATGATAACAATCAAAACGCCTGCCATTTGACATAATAATAATAATATTCGTTTACAACACTTTTTACTGATGATATCATAAATATCATAAAGCCTGCCATTTGAAATAAATAAATAAATTTACTGATCTGCTTTCCCGTAAGTCAAAATAAAAGCTTTACATAATTTAAATATTTATCGAAAATATTTTCTAATATCAGTGCATCAGCTTGTAATTCTGATATCGAAATCCTTTAACATAATTTTTTAATTTAGTTATCTTTATAGGCCACAATGTAGTCAGCCCACCAAATTGTACAAAGGAAGCGCAATTTTTTTGCTTATAGAAATTCTGACAACTATTAAAAATAAAGCAAATTTCGTTTTAAATTACTTTTTATTTTGGAATTGGGTAACAAAAGCAGCTTATTAGAAGCCGAATAATGACGGAATGAGTGAAATAGAACTTAACTTCCTATTCGTAGAGCCGAGCTTACTGGTTTGTGATTGGTTAATGCTCATGTACCAATCAGAAGTCGACAGGGAATCTAGCTGTCTTCTATTCGGATTTCCGCCTATCCAGTGTGAATGCATGCAAAAGGGAACAGATTTAGAGTCGCACCGTTTTATCGGCAGGTGAAAAGACATGTACATTGGAAGATGTCTAAGTGGACTCCTAACGGCCCTCTCCCTCCTCCTTCTATTATATTTCCCCTCTTCAGAGACATTTATTGAATTGGACCGGTTTTGTGAATTAGAGCATAAGGAAAGTCTAATATGCTACCTTGATTGCTTCGAAGCAATTCTAGATCTCCTGCCAAAAGGAACAGATCTCGGCCGAATAACGGGTCTTGTGGTAAGACAAACAAATTTAGATTGTAATACAGATGTAGCCGTTGACGTTTTCCAAAATTTTACTAACCTTCAAGAGCTTCATTTTACCGGAGTTTCGTGTCCTTTCTCCAAGCTTCCGTCGATCACCAAATTAGATCAGCTAATAATTATGGCCGCCCAGGATAATCATAAGGATGAGGAACAAATATCTTGGAAAGCCGAAAGACAAACCATTCTACCGAATATGAATAAATTAGCAATAAAAGAATTGTGCTGTGATCTATTTCAAGGGAATATTTTGGCTCCAATATTAGAAGATCTGTCTTTTCAATGTGCTAGAGTACCATCCTACATTACAGGGTCGAGTGAAACTAAAAACGCGTTGTTCTTCACTGTTCCTCATTTGCAAAAGTTGGAATATACCGAAAATGGTTTAGGATTTCCGATATCTAGTGCTTCTAATCTGCCGCATCTTAGGACCCTCTTTGTAACTCCAAATGCAGAATTAGAAGAAAGCTTCCTACCTGTTAAAACCCCACTAAATTTGTCCGGTTTAAAGGAGATAATTCTTATGGTTGAAGATCTTGGTCCATTTACTTCTGCATCTCATTTCTTTCAGTGTGTGGACTTAGGAAATACAAATCTAACGCATATTACACTTATAAATCCTTCTGTAGGCCCGCTGACTTGTCCTAGTCTTTGGAGATGCGCTTCATGTCATCCGCATACTTCTAATGATAATCAGACAGTTGAAATTTACGTTCAATCTGCATCTTTCACCAAACTCAGCTCCCTCTTGCCAAAAATGACTCTGAATACAACCGACCTTTCCTTGAATCACTATCCCCTTCTCCACATAGATGGTGATGCAATGGGTCGGTTCTCACATCTCAGGAGCCTTCGGGTCGGAGAAACCTATGGAGGAAGAAAACCCACAGGAATGGTGATTCTTCTAGACAACCCTTTCAAATCCCTTCGTAGGCCAGATAAATTCCACTTTATTCGGCTCTCCCTTGTGGAATGCGGATGCTTGGTGTACAACACTTTCTCCTGGTTGAAAGCCCAGAATCCTTATTTCGATGGAAAGATACAATGCGCCGAGGTATTACAGACACGTTCCTCTGATGAGAGGATTGAGTTGGGAAAGTGGATAAATGTCTCCGATTTTCTGAGGAAGCTGCGACAAAGATGCCAACCGAATCAAAACCACATCTCTACTAACTACCTCCCTACTGCAAATAGGTTCGTTATGAAATCAACCAGTGAAGAACCCTCAGATGGTGGTGAACTCAGAAAGTCCTCTCCCTTAATTTGTGCCATCTTATTTTTATTTTCTGCTATTCTTGAACGAATAAATGTTTGATGGAAATACCTCCCTTGGTGTGTCTAGTTGCCAGTCACAATCGCATCATTTTTGTAGCCTTTCATTGGCTTAAGTAACAACTGCATGGTCTCTAATTAGAAATGTCTTACACGGAAACATGTGAATATTTATTTATTTATTTATATTAAATGGCAGGCGTCTTGGTGGTTATCATTAGCCAGTTGTAAGTCAGAAGTCAACTGTCAGTTAATAGACTTTTTGCCGTATGAGAATACATTGTTCAGGGTGCACCACGTGATGGTAAGTTTATCGCACACCCCAACATGTAAATATTAGGTTTTGTATTTTTAAAATTAAAACAACCTATAGCAGTCTTTGAGTGACAATTGTAGAGCATAAAACAGATAAAACAATTTCGTGCCTCTAATTTCGGATATTCAAAGCATCGCGATTATGCCAGTAATAAATTTTCATTGGAAAAACGGAATTGGGCTATTTTCATAATGGGGGTGGATGGGGGGTGGGGGGTGGGAGGGGAGGTTGGGAGAAGAATTCTTTTTCCTTATCGATTCAAAATGTCAAGTTCTAAATATTTAGCTACAAATAACACCACACTAGTCGAATCTAGCGCTATTTGAGGCGTGATTGGGTAATTTTAAATTATAAATAAATAGTAAAAACTGCAATAATTGATAACAGTAATTAATCAATGTCGCATTTAATTACCATTAATTTAGACATAATCACCCACAATAAAAGACACCATTTGCCATAGTTTATTACACGAAAACATGCAATCACAAAAGGTGGAATGAAAATAACATCAGGATGCAAGGCACGAGAATCTTTTATTTTTCTTCTTGTCACTAAAGAGATAAAAAAAAACTAAACTAACCTCTCGACAATCTGACCTCGGCATGTCTAAATCGTAATTCTTGTCCCGAATGTTCTAAGCTGGTTTGACCTGAGAGGTGGATTATATTCTATCAGTCTATTTACCATGCCATGCATCCAAAGTGCAGCTAATATATTCATTTATTATTCAAAATTTCTGCCATTGAGATGAAGAAGTGTAGTGAGAGTTGAGAAAGGAATCGAGTGAGAGCTGCATTCTTGAATAAATTCTCATTTTGTTGTTGTTTTTTGAATGAATTCACGCTATCTGAGTTTCGTACAAGTTCATGTGATTTGTCAACAATTAGACTGTTGTTTCTTATTATTAAACCCACAAGGTGATAATAAGAAGGGTTACCATTAATACCAATAATAGCAAAACACAATAAATTTTGCTCAAGAAAATTTCAAATTAAAAAAAATGAATTAGGCTAATATAGGCATTTGCCCAGCGGAGCTTATTTGACTCTACTAAGGATGCCTTCTTTAGAAAATCCTTAGAAACACTTTATTATGATGAGCACATTGGGTCAGTCAGTAGGTGGAATGTTTTCAAATGTTAAGGTTCTCTATCCTGGGTCGCAATTCATGTTGTTAGTAATCAGAGCTGATACACTTCTGGAAGGATTCTACGAATTGGTCTTGGAAACTCAGTTTATGAATCCCCTCAAAAAGGGAAGAAAAAGTTAATAAGTAGTAGTTAAGGTATATAAGTACCGAAAATTTCCTAAGGATTTAACACTTCAATTCGCTTTCTTTCTATACAAATATATACATTTGGAAAGTTTATTTAGCTCAAATGGTAGGCGTTTTGGTATTTATCATTAACCCTTTAGCTGACTTCGGGCTTCACAGAGAGGAGGAGGAACATCTAAGGGGCGCTTCACAGAAAGGAAGATGAACATCAAAGTGGCAAAAATCCTTCACAGAAAGGATGAGGAACACCAAAGTGGCAAAAAGTCATACATACAGAAAGGAAGAGGAACACCAAAGTGGCAAAAAGTCGAGAGAGGGGGACAGAATAATGATTCACAGACGTAAAAGAGACAGGCCTTCACAGAAGGAAGGTTCATCAAAGTAGCAGAAAGTCCAAGGGTTGAGGGAAGGTGCATCAAAGTAGCAGAAAGTCGAGGGGTAGAAGAGGGAAGGTCCATCAAAGTAGAAGAAAGTCAAGGGGTGGGAAAGGAAAATGAACATCTAAGGGGCAAAAGTCGAGAGGGGGACAGAATAATGATTCACAGATGTAAAAGAGACAGACAGAGACAAAGGTAGAGAAAAAGCAAGATGAGTACTGTGGAAGTGGGCGAATATGAAATGCGGTGGGGTCAGGGTAGTTTGAAGTCAGAAGCCAACTGCCGGTTAATAGACTTTTTGTCGTATGAATATAAGTTGCTCAGGGTACTCCACGTGGAGGTAAGTCCGTCGCACGCCCAACATTTGAAAAGTATTCTTGAACTTAGGAGGGTCTAGTAGAGTTACTTTCCGATTTTCGTTCAATAGCACCTAATTGCACTCCAAAATAGCCTGCTTCTATATCTTCAAGCACAGGAATTTCGAATTCTTCAACTTATTCACCCATTTATAGTTATATTTTCAAAAAGTTAGTTCATTCTTTGAAGGTCAAGAACTACGAAATAGGCAAAAATATGTTACATAAAACTAGAGTTCTTTCTTAAAAAAGTAAAGGAATTTATCACAGATAGGCGTCACTTTAGGTGTATTTTAATTGATAAAAAATAAACTTTGTTATTTTCAAATTCATGAATTAAAAAGTATTGTGGGGGCTGTTAGTCATTGAGACCTTGTTTGAAAGCAGCTTTAAGAAGCAAAATCGGTTCATTTTTCTTATCGGCACTATGTTTAATTCACCAAGTCAAAATTTCATGGAATTTTTAATGCATTTTCTTTGAAACATCACAGACATTTGTTTGATTTCGATTCTCCTCTGACTGACAGTCACTTCTTTGTTTATCCTACAACAGTTTTTCTATCATCATTCGGAATTCTGCATGTCAGTGTGCCCATAAATTAGGACATTTTAGTCATTTAGCCTTATTGCGTGAGGCATTCCATAAATTAGTCCTAGGTAAATTCATTGAGATTTGGAATAAATACTTGTCGGTATGTGCATGATGACGAAATTCAAACAAAGAGTCACTGGAAAGTGAGTCAACATTTTGGTTAATTAAATCATGCTTGAATGCAATTGGCAATTGTTGAAAAAAAATGCGGAATTTTGAAAAAGTGATTTTACACTCAAGCCGAGAAAGCTGATTTCTGAATGATTATTATTTATTTATTTCAAATGGCAGGCGTTTTGATGGTTATCAATAACCCTTGTGTTGACTTTTGGCTTCACAGAGGGGAAGAACCTCAAAATGAGAAAAAGTCAATAGGCGAAATAGAAGAATAGTTCACAGAAGTAAAAGGGACAGGCAGACACAAAGGAATAGGTGTATTTTGAATGTCATTAAGGCTGGCAATTAGCACTTTAGGAGAAACAGGCTAGCATTGTAATTGGTTATATAAGCAATAAGATTCATTCCTTAGCGTGTATAAATTGTTCTCCTGATGTAGGTAAATGGCAGCTATGGTGATTGGAATAATTCAAATGAAAAATTAATAAGTCGCGTGTATCTGGTCTTATCAATGGGAACTCTTACTTTCTAAATTATCTATTAATATGAGGGTGGCCGTTTTTTGTGCACCAAGATTTATTTATTTATATCAAATGGCAGGCGTTTTGATGGATATTATTTTTATTTATTTATATCAAATGGCAGGCGTTTTGATGGTTAACATTAGCCCGTTGACTTCAGGCTTTACAGAGGGGAAGGAACATCAAAGTGAAAAAAGTCGAGAGGGAGGGGGCAACAGAAGAGTGTTTCAAAGACGAAGGTAGAAAAGGTAAAAAAAGAAGTGGTGTGAGTACTATGGAAGTGGTCGACTATGACATAGAGTGGGGTGATGGTCGTTTGAAGTCAGAAGTCAACTGCCGGTTAATAGACTTTTTTGCCGTATGAGTATACGTTGCCCAGGGGGTCATGGTAGTTTGAAGTCAGAAGTCAACTGCCGGTTTTGGGGTGATGGTCGTTTGAAGTCAGAAGTCAACTGCCGGTTAATAGACTTTTTTGCCGTATGAGTATACGTTGCCCAGGGTGCCCCACGTGGAGGTAAGTCTATCGTACACCCCTTGTGCGCCAAGATAATGCTTCAGAAACTCAACTATACCTTTGATATAATTCAAACTACATCTCAATGGTCGATTAATTAAGCAGCTAAACCTAACATCATAACTTCACCTTAAATAAATCTAAAGACAGACGTTCTCTTCATAAGTTTACACAGTCAACGAGAACCTTTTAATATTCTTCCAATGGTCAATAATAATTACCTTTGATGATGCGGGGGGGGGTTTGTTGGGAAACTTTAGTAAGATGGGAATTATCGAGGCTTGCAGTATTTGAAGTCCGAATGAACTGAGTTTTCTACTTCTCCAAAAGGAAAACATCTCTTAAGATTAAGAGACAGTTCATGTCCAATGAAGTCGTGGATGCTTGACTTGCTGCTTTAAACATATAGTTGATAACGAAACTCGATCCATTTGAATCTTCTGTTAGCAATGAGAAAGAAAGTTGGTAGTATTAATAAAGACATTTTAAACAAATCAGGGCTTACTTAAAAAGAATATATTGCCCATATAGTATTATTGTTAATTATGACGATGCTATCCCTTCTAGTCGGGGTGTGCGATAGACTTACCTCCACGTGGTGCATCCGGGGCAACGTATACTCATACGGCAAAAAAGTCTATTAACTGGCAGTTGACTTCTCACTTCAAACTGCCATAACCCCACTGGTTGCTATATTCTTCCACTTCCACAGCTATATATCGTTAATTAAAAATAATAAGGGGTGTGCGATAGACTTATCTCCACGTGGTGCATCCGGGGCAACGTATATTCATACGGCAAAAAAGTCTATTAACTGACAGTTGACTTCTGGCCCTAAACTACCACCACCCCACTGTATACCACATTCGACTACTTCCAGTGTGCTCACCTCACCCTTTTTCTACCTTTTTGTCTGTCCATTTTACATCTTTAAAACACTCTTCTGTTCCCCCCCCCCCCCCC